CACCAGCACCCCCAAGTCCTTTTCTGCAGGGACTTACAATCTTATTGCTAAAGTTCTGTATTAAGGAGGAATGTCAAGGCCTGGTACTGAAATGAACTTCAGTGATAGGGAGCTTAAATGATCCACATAAAGGCTAGTTAACCTCTCTCATATGTATTTGAAGCTATTTAATCATAGAATCATAGACTCATAGGCCTGGTTTTCCTAAGGAAATACACATATTCAAGACAAAATCTTTATTCCTTAAGATTCTCTGCCACTACTATGTATATTTTTCTAGATTTCTATTAAAAATGCTGGTTATTACAAACACTTGCATGAAAATGTTAATAAAACTAACAAAACCTGCTCCAGAAATATTTATTAGGGAGCTGATAATTTAGTGTGATCTGAGGTAGTAGATGACCTTGGTACATGTCTGTATGTGAAAACAAAAAATCCTGCATGTGTTATATTCTGTAGGTTCCGCATGTTAAGTACTGTTTGATCCCACAAATCCCTTGCATATGCACCTGATTTAAAGGTCACTAGCTCCTCCAAGTGTCTGGTGGCACTGAGTCCTCAAGGCATGTTTGGTTATTTGTTGGTTAGTAACAAGTATAGATATAAGCCTTCATAAGAAGAAACAGTGATAGGGACTATAGGTACTAGGATTTCACTACAAGATACATAAGCATATAAAAGCTAAGGAAATTAAAAAAAAAAAGTTTTCTCCCCTGAATAAATCTACAAGTAACAACAACAACAAAATGTTTTAGTTTAACAGAAGGTAAACTGCAACGGTAAAGATAGTAATTTTCAACTGTAAGGGACCGTTAACATTACATCAGGGAAGCTGGTTTTTTTTTTCTCCTTCAAAGCCACAATCAAATGGAGCAGCCTACCAAAGAGGTTCTGTGAGAAAAAACAAACATTACTCTTAAGAGTGGTGATGTTAATCGTGTGTGCGGTACAGCAAACTGCTCATCAAAAAGTCACAGGAATAAAACACAGTTATTAGACTAATTGGTCAAGTTTCTAAGAGGGTGTTTTAAAGAAACACTTTATTCACAGAAGAGTAACTGCTTCACTGTGCTGCATTCACATAGGTACAAAAAACAAGAGGGAGGAGCAAAAAGAAACAGTTAACGCCTTATTGCTTATCCTTTAGTTCATACTGCAGTTAACCCAAACTTTGCATCTCGGATCACTTCCAGCTTACTTCTAACACAAGCAAGACTGAAACTACAGCTACGAGGAGCAAACATCAGTCAAGTGACCCATCCAATATGTTTGCAGTATCACACTGAGAAAATTTCAAACTCTTGGGGTTTCCACTGAAAGCCCTTGGAAAGTTACAATTCTCAATTCATCCACCTTCCTCAGAAGAAACCACGCTGAAAATTACTACTGTATGTTCCCTGTGCTTTCCTTGGACACTGCGCAGACCTCTGCTAATTAAGCAACAGACTTACAGTGTTTTAATGATTTATTTTCATGGCCAAAACACAACTTCTCAGCACTTGCAAGTATGGGAGTTTGGCTACTGAAGGTGTCAGAATGAAAGACACTCCCTGGTACCTAGGACTCTATTCTTACCATGATGGAGACCATTCTTCTGATACATGTTACTTGGTAACGTATCTCGATTCCACTCAGATGGCCTCAGCATTCTTTCTTGTTGTGATGGTGTTAGTTGCTCGCTGTACTCCCAGAAGTATCTTCGCTTGCCTCTTTTCCGAGAAGATATTGCAGTCATTTCTTTTAAATCCTCCACAGAATCATTTTCATACCCTAAAAGGATGCATTGCATTGTTTACACAATGTTACAAAATTGTTTCTAGCCCTTTAACTGTGGACTCAGCATTCAAGTTAAGAGCAAAACCACAGACAAGGCCTGTTTTACATTATCTAATAGACTTGGTTTTCAGTGTCAACTACTACTGAGTACTTGCCTTAAATCCAGGGACAGACATTGAGCCAGTGATGGTGCTTCATTAGTTGAAAAGAGAGAAGTTATTTATGCATTGAAAGCCCCTTTATGTTCTCTGACCCCTCAAGCTCTACTGCTCTTCTCCCCCACAATCCCACCACTGCAGAGTACAGACAACAGCAGCTGGAATGTTCTTCCACCCTTATAATTTTCTCCATGAATTTGCAGGAACAAAATCCTAACTCACTTCCACATTTTAATTAATCTCTAAGCAAAAAGCATGGAAAGAGAAGCAGATAATAAAGATGGATTAGCAGAAAACTAATAAAGAAAGCAAAATTACTCCATCATAAAATATTCTAAGTTGGAAGGGATCCATTAGGATCACCGAGTCCAACTCCTGCTCTTCCTTGAGTCTTAATACCTTTGGGAAATAAATCAAACCATCCATCTCTATCAGACTAGAGGAAGGGGACTCTCTTATCAGGACAATGACCTAAAGTCCAGAAGAAATGACCATCTAAATTGAAGGGATCTGGACACAAGCTGTTCAATCTCTTCCTCACCTCTTTAGTGGGATAAAGAGAATGACCCATAGTAAAGCTACACAGTATTTTAGAGGTATATTATGATGCACTTGATACGATGAACTGTTCATGAAGTACACGGAAACTTCAATGCCATTATCCACATTGCATAAATATTTATACCATAACCATGTAAACACAAACCAGAGTTTTTAAAATCCTGCGTATGCTTTAGAAAATAAAGACAACCTACACTAAGGTTGAAAAAACCCAAACCTCTGCATCGCCTTTTGTACTAAAATGCTATATAGCAGTTTACTTAAAAAAGAATGCATTTCAAAATATCACCTACACTGATGAAGCTTAAAGAAAAGCCAACCACTGAACGGACTGTAAGCTTAACAAGCCTTGACCCCATATGCTTGAGCTCTGCTTCATCCTTTAACAGCAGCACAAAGAACACTTTCTTCTTTTTAAAACAGTCCATTCAATTAGTCTGTTTGCACTTGAAAAACCATTTGAAAGAGGAAAAACAAACTTTCTTGTTTTGGTCCGACTCTCACCTCAGAATACAAAGTATGAATAAAAGGTGCACAGAAGGATGAAATCAGTTCTAAAGTCCTGTTTCTAATCATTTGATCAATTCATTTACTTTGATTCTCTAGTTTTTTTTAAAAGACAGTATTTTAAAGGCAAACCAAACAATGAAACATGCTTGATAAAACATTTTTTTGGTATAGCGAAAATGATTATGACAATTTACATTCGTTTCAAATACCATAAATATTTTTATTTGTACTTACATTTTACCCAAATGCTGTTTGATCTAAGTATCAAAATACTCTCCAAAAACTCACTTACCTTCCCCTTGAAAAAACATGTCAAGCTGTGTAACTCTTTATATAGATATGTATAAATTCAGCCCATCTTCATGATAACACAGAATTAAGCCAACCAATGAAAACAAATCTCTAAGAGCTGACGCATACAAATGTACAATAAGGTTAAAATCAAGACTTCCTGTTTGCTTTTTTGAACTATAATTAAGTTAGCAGCTTGAATTATATTGACTTAATGCATCCTGCCTCGCAGCTCTAACACTGCCCTGCGATCACTTTAAAGCTACATAGAATAATCTAGTGCACAGGGTCCTAACCCAGTCCGTAACATAGAGGAGTGCAACAATCTGTTGAGCTTTTCTGCAGTGTTCATCTTCCTTGAATTCTCCTCTTAGCAAACACCATATAGCAGTCTCATTTTCTTTGGCGGACTTCTAAGAAATCCGAAATGGTTCTTATACCTACTTTTCAAGCCCTTTGTGAGTCCCTCCTAAAAATCTTTGTTGACATTCCTGACCGAGGTTTTAGGTTTAAACTCACCACGGTTAAATTCAGTAAAACAGAACAGGATAGACATGACTTCTGCATCCCACCAGATTAAAAGCAAAAATAGCCCCACCAAAACAGAACCAGGAAAGCCCTTCTCTTTATCATTTAATGATGCTGATGTCTGTCAAACCGTTTCTGAGTCTTTCCCCCAGCTGATGGTCCAGGTGCTCAGAATAGATGCAATGCAACTTCCTTAAATAATACCTGTGTCTCTACAAGCACTTTTCTCTTTCAGCTATTTCTTCTCCTGTGCTACTGAAAACTGAATCACTTGTTGCATCTCCCATTTCTAGAATCTCTTGACTACTTGATGGGAGAAGCAGTCATTTACAAATATTTCTATTAAATGAGCTAGGTAAAACGTACTAGTAATGGCAAAAAAAAAGTTTAAGTGCTAGAAAAGGCCTGGGCTGGTAATTCCCATTTACCTTTACAGGTGAACAAAATTGCTAAATCTGTATCATGGTGATAATAAAAACGTTGCCCAAACTTGGCCAACAGCCAGTCACATTTTTAAGTTATTTCTTTAAGTTCCTGATGTTCACTACATCTAAGTATTTCCTCAGACAACACTAACACTTTAAGAAAATGTTTCACACACTCCAAAAACATACATGAAGTAGAATAAATAAAAGCAAACTGTGTATAAAATACATCAGAGGGTCAGCAATAACATAATAAGTTTTGGTCCTTGCACTAAATTACATCTTTAAATTTATCAACTGAAGGTTAAATCTTCCTGTGCCATGCCTTTTTTTAGAAACTTTATCCATAGTATCTACCTTTACTCCAATGATAAAAAAGCAACACAAAGTACAAGAATGACATAATTAAAGTAACTGGAGACATTATCTTCTAATATAATCAAAACCTATGGTAAAACTTTTAGTATCACCATTCTCGAGGTGAATGGCTTAATTCACTTAGAAGTTCTAGCCAGTTTGTATAAGCCAAGCTCCTCATTACTGTACTGCACGACATACTCGTATTTAGAAGGCAAGAGCGACTGCTTGTCAGTAAAATCTGAACAAACGGCAAATAGTCAATGTAATTCCACCAACTGAAATCCCAGCATTTTAATACATCATCTCTTTTTCAAGGTTACCAGGCTTTCTGTGCAACATGCCTCCGTGGGCTGCAAAGCGCTGTGTAGTACAGCAATCATTACAGAGCTGGAACAGCTACTCAAAGACCCAGAAAGTAGAGGGAGTTCAATTCAGAAGAAGGGAGGAAGAGGTTTTAAAATGCTAATAAAAACATATTATGTACATGTAAAAGTAACATAAAGGCCATAATACTTAACAAGTTTAATGCCAACTCAGGAAATCTACTTAGAAAATAATTTAATCTGAGAGCTCATTATGACAAATACTGACAAGCTCTAGGCAAGCTGCTGTTTTTAAAAAGGCAAGATTTCAGCTGCTTTCCCCCCCCCCCCCCAAGTTACATTTTGCCAAATGTCTGAATACCTTAATTCTTATACTCTACTACAAAGCATTTACAAAATGCGAATAATACTTTCTACAATGAAACTAACAGTTGGTAACAGTCCTGTCCCTTTCCCTTTGGATTTTATTTTTTACACAACGTTACCGCTTTGTTACCTTCTAGGTGAAGGTTAGTTCTTATTTCTGTTGTTAAGGCTCCATTTCTACATGCAGAAGAGAGGAATTCAGTATCCTTTGAAGACCCACTAAGTGTTACTGCTGAAAACCACCAAGAAATGGTTCTATTAGTTTCAGTGTTAGACATTCTTTGGATTCTTTGGAAAACTGTACCTACAGTAGGACCTAAGTAATTACGAAACTATTTCACTCAGGCTATGATTTCATACCAGCTAGCAAGAGATACAACTCTGGACAGATTGAAAGCAGCAACCTAATGAAGCACTAGAAAGCTCTGCACAACCCATCATCACAAAAAAAGAAGACGACAATTGCAGGTAGTTGCTCTACAACCTTAGGCTACAAGCTGTTTCCTGATTCTCTGTTACTATTTTTGTTGCATGACCACAGTTCATGCAGTTTTTCTCAAAACAGGGCAATAGACACCTTGCATAGTTTCCATTAATCACATTTTGCAAAGCACTTAGAAAACCTGGGACAAAAGTTTATCATTTAAGATCAGAGTTGTTCATCTGTAACTATAAAGCATTCAAAAGCATTCTTTCCCACTTGGCAGACAAATTCGTTAACTTCCATGTTAACAAAGCCCAACATTGCTGGTACCTGGTTCTGAGAAAGTATCGCTGATGTCATCGTCTTTATCATCCTCATAATCTTCTTCCTCATCATCGTTTTCAGACAGCTCGTGCTCACTGCCGAATCCTTCATCATGGTCCTCATCTTCAATATCGTCCTCATCATCCTCATCTTCCTCAGGGTCTCCTTTGGCTGACTGTTCACCCAAACTGTCTGTTACAAAAAGAGAATAGTTGTGCTCTTCTTTCTTCTGTGAAGAATCCGACACAGACGTGCTGGCAGAAAGACTGCTCTCCCCCACAATAAGCCCTGGGGTTTCCTGGGGTGGACTGAGGAGCAGTTCTTGAGTCTCTTTAAAAGGCAGAACAGGAGGCGTACTGTGACTAAGTGGGGACTCTATTCCTTTTCTTTCTTGTCTTTTTGCTACAGCACCACAATAGCAGGTGTTTTCCTTTGCTGCATCAGCATGTGTCTGGCTCAACACTGGTCTGCTCTGTGGTAAAGGACTGATCTTTACTTTTGCCTTTTTAACATAGTCTTTACATTCAACATGAATGTTCACCTTTTCATTGTTGTACACATTGGTCTTCACCATGATTTGTGTACTGGAAGCAGGCTGAGTCGCAGGTTTGCTTGCCTTCTGAACACAGTCCGACAAAGGTGCCTCAGCCTGAACGTTCTTGGAGGAACAGACTGGGGCTGCTGCTCTGGTTGCAATTTTTTTGCCAGGTAACAAAGAATTTAAAGGGTTTTGTTTTACACTAAAGAGCAAATCAGGGTAATAGAGTGAATCAGAAACAGGTTGGGAGTCCTCACTATTAAGCTGAGCCAGTGTCGGTGTTTTGCTTATCACCTCTTCATCTTGGTACGGGCTTGAAAAGTCGTCAAGGCCCAAGTAATCCACCTCTTTTGTTCCCCAGATGTCACAGCTGGTTAATTTAGTGTACTTAGTTAAGTCTTCACAGTAGGTGTCCCACTGCTCCCACTTTGAGGTGAGAGCAGCTTCTTTGTCCAGGATGTCCGTAAAAGACTCCAAGTTCTCAAGGTCTTTGCAGTCCTCCATTGAAAGTAAGTTGTCTCTGGAACTTTGCTGATAGTCCATTTCTCTGTCCTGTGCATAATAGGACAAGTTAAAAATTAATGCCAAAAAAGTATCAATCATCTCTATCCTCTACTTAATCTAGTATGGTGAGCTTAGTTCCAGTGACGTGTAAGACAGTGATAACATATGAAGATACCTCAGCTTCCAACTAAAAGCTTCTTTTGAGGGTCAGAATGAAGTACAGCTTCTGTGCTTCAGCAGCAGATCCTTCAGAGGAGATTGCTAAAGATACAAGTCAAATGCCACTGGATTCTTTTTCTGCTATGGCAAGTTCATCTGGTCATCAGGAACTAGACTAATACCAATATCCACGTATTTAAAATACAAAAGACATCAGAGGCAAGCTGTTCTAGTTTCTATTAACCTAGGTCAATCTTTGTTGTGTGCTTAACAGAATATGCTCAAGCCTACCAGTCCCTGGAAAACCTCATTCTAATACGATCAATTAACGACTGTGAGCTACTTTTCTCCTTTGATGCAGGAAAAAAAAAAAAAAAAAGAAAAAAAAAGAATGCTAATATAAGCAGCTCATGAGTCAACTTTTATTTTGCTTCCCCTGCATTCACAGCTTGGGTGAAGTAGCATACAGCTGCTCTTACAGAAAAGATTGTAAGGAAGAGTCTCAAGCACCATTACATGTCAACACAGCTCTATTTGAGACTTGTGTATCAAGCCTCTCCTCATAGCCAGCTTCAACAAGCGTCTCTTGAGGAAGCATCACATTTCCTGGACAAGCAGTTAGGCTCTTCCCTAATCAGTAGCTAGCAGTAATGAATAATCTTCTAGCATTCTTGAACAAATACCCCTTTATTACTACATGAACTCGGGGTATTAGTCAAGGAGAGGAAGTTATGTACACACACAGAAAGATGACCTACCAGTTCATACATGAAGTCTGGATCTGAACTGCTTGCCAAGAGATCCGTGCTCATCAGAGTCTGCTCTGAAAACACATGGCTCCGAAAGGCATCCCCAAAAGGAGGGTCCATTCCACTCACACTGGGCTACAACAAAAATGATACTGACGTTTGAAGCACGCTATACAACAGCATATTCTTTTCTTCAACAAAACATAAAGAGTATTGCCATTTCATCCAAGTCTCTGAACTTCTGGTACACTTGCATCTGGAAGGCTTTTACCTACACAGATATGCATGTCATTTCTCAGAGCGAGAGAATGCTTTAAGAGCACCTAACAACATGCAGCTCTTCAATCAAAGGACACATTTGTATTCATCATATAGCTGCAAGAGCATTGCTCATTCATTCTTTTTTGTTGGTTTGCAATTCTCATGTGTTTGCCAAGTTTAGGGATATGTTAGCATTTGTAGAAGAGGAGAGTGAGTACTGGCAAGATCTGTGAGTATCAACAGGCACTACACGCTTGCAGGGCCTTCACCCTAACACAAACCATTCTGTATGAAAGCAGTGTTGACTGTTTTTAGAACCATTAGAAATCAAACTTCCACCTGAGGTTGTAACAAAAGCAAAATTGATTACAGCTACACCAAGAGCGTTATATCTCTTGAGAACAAAGTGGAACTTTGCAAAAAAACATCACACAGGATGACTGGGCATGCAGGGAATGGGCAGCAAGGCTTTCTGCTACATTTAATTCCAGACCTCTATTTCTCTTCTAGACACACTCGCCCTGAGGGTTGGGAAGGGAGAAACAGTGTACTGCTGAAAGTCATTCAGTGTGCTGATATGTGAATCACTGCAGTAATAAAAGCCTGCTCTCCAGTCGTCCACCCTCATCAAGACAATTTTGCTGAAATCTTGCTGTGTGAACAAGTAACAGTACCAAGAGCAGCAACATAGTTTCCACCACAGACACTACTGGGACACTAAAAAATATACACCATTTAATCTCTTACAAATTCTCCCTACTAATGTCAGTCAAATTTGCTCTTAAACTTTTTTTTTTAATAAGGAAGCAAAATTATTTACAGTAGCAAATAAAATCCTAACAGACTTACCTGAGGCATTTCCAAGCCCAGATTCCCCAAATCCAATTCCAAACTTCTTGTTTTATTCACTTGTAGATTCCTTTCCAGCTTTACTTCTGTCTCAGCGAGTTTACACAATCCATGCAATGAAATTTTTCCTTAGGATAACTTCAGTTCACCCTGATGGAGCTCTTCTGTTTGCAGACTTCTGTCTAGAATAAACACAGCAAAAGCGCAAGGAGGTAAGTAATCCTCCACCAAAAAGGTAGAGCTTAAAAAACAGCTGAAGTGAAGACAAAAATTTCCCCTGAAAAGTGATTATTCCTCATGCTGGAACACCTAGCAATTTTCTTCCCCTGCCATCTTGCATCAAATGAAAAGCCACAGATGCTACAGAACAGAGTTCCTGCAAAAACCTTTTTGGCTGAGTTACATTTTGTTGCCTTTTTCCCTCGCTACTGAGACCACGAGCCCTATAGACATATGAAAAGAAAAGTCTGCTAATTGGAAATAATGAGTAGCCTACTGCTGGGTATACGAGACACAAACAACCCTTATGACTAATACAACAGAGCAAATGAATTCTAAAACATCTCAGGCAAATATCTCAAAAAACTGATTTCAGAATAGGCAGTAATACTGATTCAGCGGTATCTCCTCCTTTTCTTAATAGATTAATCCATCCAGCATCAGATAAGATTATATCACTCATATAGCAACATCTAGTGGCAGAGGGATTACAGCAAGCATGCTCACTGCCCAGCAGCAGAGGAAGTCTTGGAAGAGATAGACTACCCCAACAGAACACATTAAAAATTGTGCCAAATTCAGAGATGCCTAACAAAATATCTTCTCTATTAATTTCAAGTAAGGCACATGTTGAAATTGGTCCAATTTATCTATTAGTAATTTTACCAGTTTAGTAGTTTCTATAGACCCACTGCTACTTCATACGTACATCTAAAGACTTTTCCAAGCTTCATATCCTGCATTTTTTAATAACGTAAGGAAAAAACTGAACTGTAGAAAAGCAAACTCCTTAGCACAGACATCAGTAACTATATCAGTAACTAAAAGTATGACAAAAACCTCAGAAAATAAGTAACAGAAAGTAAAAAAGAAAAATGTAATCTCAAAAACAATAATTAAAAAAATCATCCGCGGCACCAAACCTTAGTATCTAATGCAACTGGCATAGTCTTCAAGGATGCTGCTTTCTTACTGTCTTGATTGCCTGCAAGATCCCCACCCTTACATAAAAAATCTCTTTAACAAAAAAGCAGCATTAGAGGAGCATAACAAAAAACTGAACCATCATACTTGTACCGTTTTTCAACATTATCAGTTAAAATATATTTATTTCTTTGAGCACAGTTCTTCACTCAGCATTGCTCCTAAGTCAGACTTCAGTGCAATCTGCTCAGGCTATGTTTATTCTCTCGTTTTGAAAAACAAATAGTAAAGGAAAAGTGTTCTCCTACAGCCTATCTACACTCAGAACCCTCCTCCTACCAGCACATCACAGCATCCCCGTGATTATTCCTACTTTCAGACAGTTATCTCCGCTATTTTGTTATATTCAACATATACACCATCAGACTGTGGTAAAGACAGACGTCATGCAAGAAAGTCTTTACTTATCAAGACATACTGCTTTTCAAATAGCAGCTAGAACATAAAGAACTACAATTACAAGTCTGGATACAAACAAGTTCTCAGTAAAACCTCGCTACCACCGCCAAAGCAAGCCGTTCCTCGTAGGGCTCTGTGTCAAATAAGAGCCAGTTCCTTCCTAGAAAATTTTCTTTCTGCTCTAAAACTTCTGGAGAACTCTTTTTACTTACCTTAAAGTGGCATTTAAAGTTAAGTTTGTGTCCCAGGGCAATGTGCCCCGAGAACTCCTGTTTCCCTTCACCGCAGCAGAACTAGTCCTTCTTACGCTGTTAGAAGTGGCATGAATGATGAAGTCACTTTTGAACCTGGCCTGATCTAGAAGAAAGGGTCTGTTCTTTAAAACACATAAACCATGTTCTCATGCGCAAACAAAGAGACGAGAAGGATATTTAATACCAATCTATACTTAAGTAGTATCTTTCTTTCTTTCCATACAGAGTGGGAGAGATTGATGTCTTTTTCAACAGAACATCAGATTAACACTTTGACGTCAACACCAGAACACCACCATCTGCATTCGCATGGGAGACTGTCAGAGTTCTGCCACTGCATGATGTAAAGGGGAAGGAAAGGAGACTTTTGCTGCTTCTTTACCAGTTATTCTTTGTTATGGTTTTTGTTAGAACACGTACCACAAGCCGTTCCACTGTATTTCATACACAACTAGAAAAGGGGGGTGAAACTTAATCTGTACTGACACTATTCCAGTAACAACTGACCAACACTTCCAAGTGTCAGGACCAGGGAGCTTCTGGATCATTTACAAATCTTCAAAAAACAGACATTAAACGTTCAAAATACTTTTACCATTTCAAAGACTGGAGTGACGTTTTAGCTATAAACTTACAGCATCATTTAAGAATCACAGTGTATGTCCTCCTGGGTCAAAGCAGTATATCAGCTAATCTGATTGTTCCCGTAATTATCTTTATATTTCATTCCTGACATTTTATAATATTAATATTTAAATGTGACTTGATCCCATTAGGATCTATTCAAGTATTCTACAACATAAGATTTTTCTTGGTAACTCTATGGACGGGGGAAACATGGTGAGGCCATAAAAAGACAGACACTGCCTTGGGAGCAGCACAATCTAGGCACGCTTCACACTCCCAACAAAGCAGACCTACTTCCAACTGCTGGCTAAATTTCCCAGAATCTTCATGATCTTCATTAAAAGACTCCTGGTGTTCACCCTTAACTACCAGTATTTTTTCATGAAGTGGTAAATAAAGATGTATAGTAAAAGCCAATGACACCTATGGAAGCACAGATGTAAAATCTGACTCGTTGTGAAGGAAAGTAACTTTGTAGACTGCAGCTGAAGTCCCGTTTTTACAGAATTTATCATTACTGATACTCTCAGCCCAAGCCTGAGTTAGAACAGAATAGTACAGTTGTTACGTCATCTATAACGAATACAGATTTGAATGAACTGAAAGATCTGTGGCAGAGCTCAAGAACAGTAATGTAAGAATTACTGAAGATAAATATAGCAGGAATTTCTACTTCAGGACAATCTTCATTACTGCCTTACAACAGCCCTTTCCAAACACAGAGATACAGAGGTGAAATCCTGTAGCTGCTTCACAGCAACTGCCCGCAGGTGGAATACAGAGCCCGAGCAGCAGGCAGGGTGCCACCACTGCTTCTGGCAGCAGCCTGCAGTTAAATCAGGTTAAGGTGATTAAGGAACCAGCCCCTGAGTTGGTTTTGTGTCTGCAGATTCTTGAGTCACATCAGTGCAGAGCTGCACCCCCGCTCCTGGGAGAGGGCTTGCTCTCATTCACTTGGGCATGAGGAAGGGCAAGACATCTCAGGAACCGCTACGTTCATCTAACTTTTAAGAATTTAGGGTATTGATGGAGGCATGCATATATACATTGGTTAAAATCTCCATTGGTTGTCAATATGCAACCAAAACCTCTTGTATAGTTAATAATTCATTAACCTAACAACAAATCCTAATAAAAATCCTCTGCATTTATATTTACTTTTTGAAAAGGCACATTTAGAATAGTTTAATAGTGGTCCCAAGACACCTGGGGAAGACTGAACTTCATTCAATCTAATGGCAGGCCTATTACATGACATTACTGATGCAGCAGTACATTTAAATTGGCAGATAGCAGGACCTAAACTCAAAACATGAAGCATTAAGGAGACACATGGCAGTGACCATGCACATGCCCCTTCCCTAGACTAGTAAAACACCCTTCTGCAACAAAACATTATTTCCCGAGAAGCCCCTACAAGAGAAAAACCTGAAGTGCCAGCTTTCAGCTTGACAACTCTGGAAGTCTTCCTCAGTCACCTGTATGAATCATTTGTACTGTAGCTATAACTAAAGTTGCTATTTCTGTCTCAATTCAGATGTGTATCTTGTACAATTTGAAAAGCACACAGAGCGCCGCTATACCATTTTGTTGACTGTACAGTGCTTATTATCACAGCAGCTAAACGCCTGTTATAAATACATTCCACGAACAGTCACACTTTTCATGATGGCAACTGTATCATACAGTCTAAGTTACATTTTTGATGCAGATCAGTATTAAACGTACAAACTCAGACCAAGACATTCAAAATGCTGAACTTTGCATTTCGGAGAACGCACAAAAACTATGCCACCTATTTTAAAAGAACCATTATGTACTATGCAGCGTTTGCTGTATCTGGTCATTTTATGAAGTACTGCCGTTAGAGATGCAAGAAGTTCTCCTACGCTTCTCAAAACTTTCTTCCTTCCATAGTTTGCGCCAATTTGTTTCCCATTACAGAACACACTCTGCTCAGCGTGGTCTTCAAGCACAGAAGGTATTTTTCTTAGTTTTGTTTCAAGTGTAATGTTCTTCTTGTTTTGTTTTTTTCTTCTTTCTATAATTCTTCAATTATTAGTCAGACTTCAAAAAATTCTTTTACTTTTCTCCCACACTACAAAGACACCTAAGTTTTCTTTTGTGGTTTTCATTTATTCACAGCAGGTAAGCAAAGACAGTTTTGTAAAAGGTCTTCCTCTGCTTCCACCCACTCACCATAGCCTCATTCACCTGCTCATCTGAAGAAGCCAAGTCTACCTCCTCAGTGACGTATCTCTATTAAAATGCCAACAAAAGCATCTAAGACATTATGACCGTTGCTTTCTCTAACCTGGAGAGCAAACAACATCTGCTTAAACTAAGCCAGATCCTAAATTGGATGGAGAAGATGCGATTTGAAAGAACTAAAGATACAAAGATTGTTTCACATCTTTTAAGTCTCTTCCCTTCGGGAGATGGAAACTGCTATTTCACTGTCTCTGTTCCTTTTACTCTGCTGACTGCCCCTTCCCCCCAATATTATTTTTCTAATCCTACTTGCCCACAGCAGAGTTGAAGATGTGGAAGTGATACCACTAAACAGAAGCTCTGGTCTCCAATCACACAAGCAACATCTCAGGCAAAAGAGCTGACGAATTACCAAAGAGAATACAGCACTATTCCTTGTTTGAATTCATGCCCCTACACGTCAAAGCCAGCTACCCAACTCTG